TTTCTCTTTTGGTTAGCATGTCTTTGATAAAACCATGCAAACATGGAGGAACATCATCTCTGCAAAAACAGGTTAAGAAGTTTCTTGCTGTGTCACTTCTGGTCACACCTGCCTCAGCCATTATTTCAGTACAACACTGTGCTATCATAGGGTGAACCATGCAGACTTTTCTTTCACTTCTCATATCTTGTTGGAAGGTGATAATGAGATCGCTGAAGGGCTTCATTCTGTCTTCCAGTGAAAGGTCTTCATGACTAGGGTCTTTACTTTTGAGGAAGTCCAGGCACTGAGACTCCAGGAGGTATGAGCCTGGTACGTAGGCATTCAGCAGGGACAGGAAGGCAGCAAGCTGTGTGTTCAGTGGTCTCTTTGCTTTTTTGATGTTTTTGAATACAGCACATGCTGTCTTGATGTAATCCGGAGAGAAATTAGTTTGCATTATGTGAAAGCCATAGAATTGTTTGTATTTATCACTGTGTCTTCTGCTGAGCTCTTCTGTTTTCTTGTTAAATGTTTGTTTCTCTGTGTCAGAAAGTACTCTTTTTAGGATGACATGGTCACCCTGTAGAACTGCATCCTTTCTAACACAGCTGAGTAAAATCACCACAGGCATATGTGTGACTATCTTCTGTTCAGCAATTGTGATCATAATGCTTTCTTTCAGATTTTCCAAAATCTGCTCATTATTCACTAACAGCAATACAGTGTTCTGGTGGCCTCTACTGCCAGCTGTGAAAAGGTGGACCACCTCCTTTGCTACATTTGTGATGTCTGAGGTTGAACCTGTTAAAACTGCACATCTTAAGGTTTTCTTTAAGTCCCACAACACCTGCATGGCCAGTGTGGTTCCCCCGCATCCTGGCTGGTGGAACAGTTTAACAGTTGATATCCCAGGTCGTTTTTTTCTTTCGCAAATTTTTTCCACAAGTAGACTGTAACCCTCTCTTTTAATAAAAGGAGTTCCTGTATCATCGGACTTTGGCTGTTCACTAATGTGAAAGTTTAACCATGTGGGTGGGGCCCCTCTGTAAAAGTGTTCCTCCGTCTGCTCACAAAGATTTGGATCAAAAGTCTCTCCTTCAAACTGGTTTGCATAGAGAACATCTAACAGTGAGAAGGAATCTCGGATTTCATTTCCCAAGTAAATTTCCCCTCCTTTAGCTGTGGATAGGGCTGGTCCATTTGCCATCTCTGATTTTCAGTTTCATTTACCTTAATGGATGTTAAAAAAAACAAAAAGAAATTGAAGAGAGAATATGGTTATATTGGACTGTACTATTGGGCTCTGAGTGCCAGGCAATGGTTAGCACAGTTTAAATCATAACCTTTGAAGATTATAATTTTACATACAAAACAGATCAGTATATATAGTTAATAAAATTAGCTTCACCTCTATATCTAAGTAATCAGTAATAGCAATCCAGCCTAACCCCTATCTCTATCTATATATAAACAGTACATACATGCCTTTGTGTCAAATATTGATTCACAGCACATAGATGTCAGTAAAAACCTCAGTAATACTTTCTTACACCAGTATGCATCTTTTTAGTCCTACTTAAACTTATTCATGATGTTTGCATACGCATACAGAGATTTCTCTTACCTTTTCCCATATGATTCACAGGTCCCTGAAGTCTTGTGAGTGGTACAGTACTGTAACCTTAAGGGTGGTTGGAGTTAATATAGCCACATGCCACACCCACAATAGGTGGGTGTGATCACAGAGAGTAATCTGTAGAATGTGATAAATGTGCCAAACAACGTGAGTCATTTAAGGTTAACTTATTTGCCAACTTCCTAAGAAAAGGGAAAAAATCAAAAATAGTGTTGATACAAAATGTATTTTCTTTGTAAAGTATGTTACAGATGTGTATTTGTACAAACATACAATAATCTAGAATCACTGCACAAAACTTTCATTTTTTAATCATATAAGAAATATTTAATATACACCAATCAGCCGTAACATTATGAGCACCAGGGCTGATCGGTGTAAAATGTCTTTTGTTATTGTATGTTTCTTTTGTTTTTTTGCAGCAGTCGCATTTTACTGTAGATTATAGTTTTAATGACAACAACTGAAATCGCTTTTAGTAAATCAAATCTCAGTTCAGTTTCTTTTATTAGCAGATATTAGAGCAGTGTGTTTTTTCAATTCTAACCTAACCAATTGGGTATAAAAAAGCAAGCAATTGACAACCGTCATCTGAACAATAAACAGTCGAGTTTGTATGGTGCACGACAAAAGTGTTCAATATTAAATAAATGAGATAAATTATTATAAAATAAATAGTCAAAGGAATAAAATTCTGTAAAATATTAAATTGAGCAGTTGTTTGACGGAAACTAGCTCAACAACACTGCTACCTAATTCAGTTAAAAGCAGTTCATAGGACAGTGGTAACTTAATTTTAATTAGGGCTGCTTCGTATCTTGGGCACTAACTAGCCTTATAGGGGCAGCCACAAAAAGACTGTGGTCGACGACCGCTAGATTAATACCTGCCTAAACAACCCAATTAGTTACGCCAGCTAGGTAATTAGCCCTGCTGGGGCTGTGTGTGATTGGTGGCTGAAAGGGCGTTTTGAAAAAAACATGAAATAGAAATTAACCTTTTTGTTTAATTAAAGTGAAAATAAGATGGAACGAATTCATGAACTCTGGAACTAATTTCTTAAATTGGCTTCACAATTTATTGCTTCATTTATATTTTTACCAGGAATGTTCTTCCCTACTATTTATTTCATTAATTTACTATTCCATCATCCAAGTTTTATTTGCCCTAATTTTCTTTATAAAGGTAAACTTGTTAAAATGGATTGAGAGTGTGATATAGAGAGAGGAGGTAACTATATGGGTATCACGTGCTGGGTGAGTATAGTGTATGTAGTGAG